GCTACAGCCTCCCTAGCGCGCACAGCAACGAGGTGGTGCCGCGCATCCACGTGGGGAACGCGTGAGTGCTCCTGCCGGGGCCAGCGGGCCGCTCGCCAGGGGCGAGGCCGGGCTCGGTGGAGACGGGGTCCCGTTTTTGTAAGCCTGTGAGCCGTGTTCTTGTAGGCACTTAAGCGCAGAGGTTGGGGTAGGCGGACTGCCAGGCTGTGCAGGGTTGTGAGACACAGGGCACTCACTGACTAACCACCGAATCGGGAATTTGAGCCAGAGGAAGTCAGGCTGCAGGATGGAATCTGCGAGATCTCTACGTGTCCTGGGAGGCCCTCCAGAGCCTGGCCGGGGCTGGGCAGCCCGAGGGTCTGGAGCTTAGGGGAAATGTCTTGGGCTGCAGGGCCCAAGAAGCCACCTGCTGGTGCCTGACACGGGAAACGATGAGACACAGCATCTAAGTGGCGTCTGCCAAAACGTTCAGTGCCGTTTTCAAGTCCCAAATCTAAGTTAGAGCTAAAACATGGTTAAAACTAGTTAAGTTGCTTAAGAATGAAACACCCGCTCAGTTGTGTCAGTGCTAGGCTTTTTTCTCCTGCTGTTACTCTTACTAACAAGTTGTGGTCAACCATACGTAAGCGGGAGGATAGACAAGATGCTATGACATATATGTACAGTATAGTTTGTGGACACCTGATCACAACACTGGTGTAATAAGCATATGTCAGATGAGTGGAAGAAGTAGGAAGACAAAGAACAAGCAAAGTAGCACTATGAGTATTAGATCTTGGTTTAACCATGTGCGGAATGACCTAAAGGAAGCAAGACTTTTAGTAGGAGTTACCATGCCTGCGTGTGATGGTCAAATGAATGCTTCTGCACTCCTAAGCCCCCAAAAAACCTCACCCTAATTAAGTACTCATGCACATCATGGGAGCCACAGCAATACATGTATGGCTATGATGAAAGCCCTTAAATGGGGAAAAGGGTGCAGCACTTTTCTCAGTTGTATGATGTTTATTCTTTGCACCAAAATTATTATTTCAGTTATCTGTTCCAATCCTATAATATCCTGCCGATTCTCTTTCCCCTTTTTGCCCATCCTAATACACTTTTTTAATTAATATTAAATTTAGTGCCTATAAGGGAAGAAGTGGTGAGTAAACAATTTTTCATTAACAGTGGAAATTAAAATGTATTAATATGCTGGCATTTTTTGCTATTAAGGACTTGGTTTATTTGCTTATAATCCCATATGGGATAGCCTCATGTACCCTTAATTCCTAATGCATAGTTTTCTAAGACCTTTGTTTTGTGGCTGGTAAAATTGTTCTTTGTTCAAAATAAACACTTCTCACTAGTTTTACTTACTCTCCATCTTCCATGCTGAGAACAGACAAGATTCTGTGATTTTTCCTAGGGAAATAGAAGCAACTGATGTTAGCATCTCTCTGCTGTTTGGAGGAGCTAGAATTTCTACATTGAACATGATGCAGCTGGAATGAAATATTAAGGATGGAAGAGATCCGAGGACTGTTTGGAAAGGGAGAAAAAATGGCATACAAATACTCTCCTTTTCACCTCTAGCTGTGTAAGAAAACAATCTACTAAATTTGCAAAAATCATTCACTGGGAATGAGTTTGCCTCCAGGGGAGCCAGTTTCCAGACTGAACCACAATTCCAGGACATGAGTTCCTATTGATCTTGACCTGACTATCAGATATATACTGATCTATGACTTAAACCATATACTCACCCCACAAAACACAGGAACTCACAGCTGAATTAACACTTTTTTAATTGGTCTTGCACTGTAGGATTTACTCTTGTGTTGCAAGCAGAACTCTCCAGGCACTGACGCTTGTACCCTGGCCCAGATGGTGTCCTGCCAGATGGAAAATCTGTCAACATTTGTTTGGGTAGTGAAGTCTTCACAAATATTTGGCTCATTGCCATAGTTGTTTGGCACAGACAGCAGAAAATGTAGAAGCTTCACTTATGCATAAGGATTCCTGCTTACACTACAACTTAAGGGGTGAACAGTCATTAGGAGAAAAGGAACGCTCTACATATTCATATAGCCTTGAATTACATGAAAATTGTGAGTGAATGCACTCAGAGATTAATATAGATAAAAAGCAACTAATTTGGGTATTCATTTTTACTTTTTAGAATAGCTTTGTGTCAGCCAAAACCCTTAGTTGCATTGCTACCTCTTAGAAGCTTGTCCAAAAAGATACTGCACAAATGCTTATCTGGAGCTCAGCTTAATATTAAAACTCCTTGTGTTTGCAATTTATGACTTGAGCTTTAGGGAGATTTTCTAAGTGATTTCTGCTTCCACGATCAGTTACCCACGCAGTGAAAGCTGCCTTTAAAAGCAATAAAGAATTTGTGTCTGTTTAGGCTACTTCCTTTCACACAGTGTGCAGACACTGAGTTACCTTTCAACTAAAGCGTTCTGTCATATTCTGCTAACGTTGACCAGTGGGCTCAGATTTTACTGGAAGACCACATGGTGCATAAGACCATATCGGTCTTTTTCTTCCCAGGAAAGTGAGGCAAATACTGGGACCAACATAGAGAAATAATCTGACTCAGAATGACAAGAGCTAGTTTTACAACAAAAACGATTCAACAGTCCTCCTCATGTTATTCAATGGTTATCTCCTCTTACTATAGATGTTGTTCCAGTGCACAAGTAGAGATCTGGTGCATGATCAGTTGCGTTAGTAAGGACATGAATTGTTTGCCATTGTACAACCTAGAGCTTTTATCAGAGCTTATGTCACTACTACTCAGTCTAATTAATTGTCACATCAAACCTGAATTACATGATTATTATATATTGCCCTTCTCATTTGCTCGCTAATAGGGTAGTGTGCTCTTAGCCACTTAGAGATGGGAGCAGGTGGTTTTGCTAAAATCATTTGATAGAACTGAGGACTTGGAAAGGGCTTAGCTGACCTAAAAGTACTGAATGCTCTCTTAAGGACTTAAGCATCTTAAACATCACTCATCTGAATTGTTTTCCATTCGGAATTGATTTCAACTAGGACAGTAGAAATTATAATAATTGTGATGAAAACACTTGAGTGTTTGCCACTTGAGTGGCAAAGACTGAATTATACTGCTGTAATGCTGGCCTTTGGCTAACATTGCCAGGTCCTTCCAAGAGTTGAAAGATATTCAACAGCATAGGGGCAGAGGACTACATCTCAAAGCAGTCTTCAGATGAGTCCTTTGGAAATGCAGGAGCAGTTACTTTCTATCTGCCTGTGGCCTGAGAAGGAACCAGTGCTGTTTCACAGTCGTTAAAATTGCCCCCTACAATGTCTGTCTGGACTGTCTGCTAGAGTAGCAAGTGGTGCTTATCTGGCCCTGCAACACTGGTAGCTGACAATAGAGGCTTTTTATAACTGTTTCTTAAATTATGTAGGTAACAGAAGTTAACTCTCCTGGACTTTCTGTTATCCAGTATTTTCTTTCTTTGGTCAAAATTTTATGGTCAGAGTTACAATTTTATGCCACAGTAGGGTCTAACAGATTAAGTTTCGTGTGTGTTCTGCTCAGTTGTTAGCCAAGAAAGCAGTATTCTCTCATATACGAGTAGTGAATATGGCTCTAAATATTTCCGTGAATTTATAATCTGTAGCTAATTCACTTCCAGGCACAGTATAATTAGCGTCTACTAACAGAAAAATCAAATGTTTCGGTTATCAGTACTTTCTGGGGATGTCATACTCAGATGATTCACCAAGTTCTAATAATTTTCTTGATACTTTTCATCATACAGGTTCATAGCCAAGAACATTATGAGGTTGCAGCGTCTGGGGATAACCCATGTTCTGAATGCAGCAGAGGGGAAGTCATTCATGCATGTCAACACTAATGCAGAGTTCTATGAAGGCACAGGCATCAGATACCATGGCATTAAAGCTAACGATACGCAAGAATTTAACCTCAGTCGCTATTTTGAGGAGGCAGCTGATTTTATTGACAAAGCACTTTCCCAGAAGGATGGTAAGGGAAACTGAAACATCATTCTGCCATGTTTTCTGTGCAGTGTCTATGTCTCTTAGCAATTTATTTTACTGTTTAGAATGGTTCTTTGCTCAGATTATCAACTGAACAACCAAGGCAGGAATTCAGATCAAAACTCTGGATGAAAGATGAAAGACACCAAAATACACAATAAAATAACTTATGCTTTTGTCTATACATATATGTCTCCAGCATATGGCAAATGGAAGTCTGTCACTATAGGGGTGGCTTTGAGAAATGAAACAGCTGCTGCATCCTATAATAGTGCTCTTCTGCAAGATATGTTCTTATTTTTCCTTAGAAGTGGTAAATCACATTACAGAAAAAAAGTTTAGGATCTAAAAGCTGGTTTAGGAACTAGAAATTAGAAATTAAAAGGCAGAAGTGATACAAGTAATGTATTGCTGAAGAGTACTCATACAACCTGCTTTGGTGGGCTTTTTTTTTAGGGAGATTGTGGCCTTACAATTTTTGTTACATTAAGTCATGAAGACTTTTTTTTTAATATAACCTCGTTATTCCTTAGGAGTGCAGGAAGGATGGAGATGGTATTTGCAATGTTGCTGATTGCCACACTATTCCCTAAAGTGTGTTTCATCAGAGCAGAAATCCTAGGACATAGTGCAGTAGGCCAGAAGGGGTTTTTTATTGCCTCACTATTCAGCATGCCAGTTATTTCTACACATGCTTACTTTTTTCTTGCTTTATGCCTGAATTTAAAAAAAGAGGGGTGAGAAGTCCTTTGAAATGGTAGTAGAGCTGTGATGTGCTTTTGACAGATGGAAAGAAATTTTACTTTATGTTTGGTGGAGCATGAGAATTTCTAAAAATTTAAGTGACTTTTCCAGTTAGCATTGTGACCCACTGAAGCAGTTTGCAGTAGGAAAGAACAGTTTACCAGTGCCAGCTGTGCCATGGCTGTCCCTACTTAGTTCAATCTAAACAGTTGCAGTCAATCTGAATTTACAGTAGTAGTTCTGTTTGCTGATTCTTTCAGTCTTAGTCGTGTATCATGACTGCCACTGTTTTCTTACTGTGGGGTAAACAAAGAGGAGCTTTGTAGCTGGGTAATGCTGGAGCCAGTTTTAAGTTTAATTCGCTACTGAAATTTGATAGTTTTGTTTGACATTGCATTGTAGAGTAAGGACAGTGAAGTCAATAGGGATGCAGTAGTACTTTTCTTCAATTTCATTTTAGCATTGTAGTTGCATAAAGTTCTGGAAGGCAGGTCTGGTGTACTACAGGTCTGGAAGGCAGCCCTTAAGAAACTCACTTTCTCAGAAGAAGGCTAGAAACCCTTTTGCTTGTGATCATTTGCAGAGAGGAAGTCAATTCTCTTCATATATCATCAAGAATCTCTAAATCTTGCTAATTTATGGCTATGGGCTCTCAAAAAATATTAATAATTCATTATTTTAGCTGTTTTAACTTGCTACTGATTAGATATTTGCCTTGAGCTTGCTTTGAGCAAAGAAGCCTCTGCAGCTCAAGGCAAATGTGGTAACGGGCTTTTTGCTGCTGTGGTTCAAAAAAAGTTGTAGTTATGATGAAAACGTGTGTATGGTTCGGCTGTTCTCTTGTCTCAGAAAAAAAAAATACTCTGGAGAATAGCCTGGGGCCATATCTCCCATTGCATTTGGAAAGGGGAAAATTTTTGTGTCTGGAAAAGCACATCACAGAGGAAGCAGCTGAGAAGCAATAAAATCCAGTTATACTTCTCAAAAGAAGCAGTGGCCTGCTTTATTATTGTTGGATACCTACATACAGGATTTACTCATGTGGTGGGTTAACCTTGGCTGGATGCCAGGTGCCCAGCAAGCCACTTGATAACCCCCCCCCCATGAGCTGGAGAAAAATATTATGAAAGGCTTGTGGGTTGAGATAAGGACAGGGAGATCCCTCAGCAATTACCATCACAGGCAAAACAGACTCAACTTGGGAAAATTAATTTAATTTACCAATCCAATTAGAGTAGGATAATGAGAAGTAAGACCAAATCTTAAAACACTTTCCCCTCATCCCTCCCTTCCTCCCAGGCTCAAGTTTGCTCACAGTTTTTTCTATCTCCTCCCCCTGAGCAGAACTTGAGTGTTAATGTGGCTTCACAAATAGCCAGAAAAGTAGCCAGTTATGATCCAACATGGAGTTAGCATAGAAATTGGCAGCAGTGCAGCAAGAAGGCTAGATATATTTCAAGAGGTGGAATACATGAAAAGAGCATATTTCTCTGTCTTCAGTGTATTTTAAACTTTGCTTCACTTATTTGTGCTCTTTGGTACTCGTGATCTTATTCTAAACCACAAAGATTGGAAAAGTGTAGTAAACAGACAAAATTTGACTCTAATATATTAGCAAAGATGTTTTAGAGTGAACATTTGATATACAACCATTTTTTTCTGCATTATCCTCGAGAACAGATTTGTGTAGCCACTAGCAGCAGAGTGATAGCACATTTCTTTCAAGTTGCGTCTTCTGTAGCATTCAGAATTTACAGTTCTCAAGCCACTGAAATACTAAAACTATTACACTTTATATCCTAGCTACTTCATGTTTCTTTTCAAACATATACTCCAGTATAACCCAAAGTATGACCTGTCTTCCCTGCAGGACAAGTGTTTGTGCATTGCCGCGAGGGCTACAGCCGATCTCCTACACTGGTCATCGCCTACCTCATGCTTCGCCAGAATATGGATGTCAAGTCTGCTCTAAGCACTGTCCGGCAGAAGCGAGAAATTGGCCCAAATGATGGCTTTCTAAGGCAGCTTTGCCAGCTCAATGAGCAGTTAGTGAAGGAGGGCAAACTGAAGCCCTAGAACAGAGCATCACAGTATTTTTTTTAAGTTTCTCAAACCGTCAGAGGTCATCTTAGCTGCTTTAGATCCCCAAGCCCCAACCACCAAGCTAAATCACGTAATGTGAGGGAGAGAATTCCCACTCTTGTCTAGTGAAAGTATCTCACTGAGTCTGTCTTTCAAAATGGCACTAAATTTTGTTATTGTTTGGAGCTGTAGCAATTAAGAGGTGTTTTTAGAGGGATAACTAGTGGTAACTCTAATAAAAACTACAGTATTACCTAGAAAGGTTGAACCAGATGATCCTTGAGGTCCCTTCCAACCTGGTATTCTATGATTCTATAACAGCTGTTATAGAATGTATTTCACAGCCCCCTACAGACTCTGTAGCATATATGGTTTGCATTGACATTGAGTGTGATTCATTTAAAGCTTGTCTTGTTTTCCACCAGAGCAACATTTTCTCAGAAACCCAACACGTCTTCACTCACTCTTAATTGAAGTACTGTATTTTCTAAAGCTTCTTTCTCACGCACACAGCTGCCTAAAGTTTGAGTGTAGGAGCTTCAAGGAATGGAGAAGCATATACACAAATGCACAGATACACTTGCTTGAAAAGTGAAGTTTATGCAGTGTTGTGTTTAGTGTGGATTTATGCAATACTTAGTGTGTGGTATTAAAGACATTCAAAGCCCAATCTTGATGCACACTGTATTTCCAAGAATATTTGTTGCAATTGACATGAAATATCTGTTGCAATTGACATGAAATAGTCTGATATTAAATGTTCTTTTATTTTTGCTTTGAAGTCATACTAGAAAAAACTGTCAAGAGCAAGTGTTGAGGAAAAAACTCAAGAAAAAAAAAGTCTGCATTTAGGAGTGCTTGTACTGGATATATGATCAAGCCCTAAGTATCAGAATATAATGGCTTCTGAGGCTTGTATTGAATTACGGTGTCTCTCTCCCTTCTTCCCTATCACTGTTTATTAGCACAGAATGGAGTGAGCACATATGCAGATTATTTCCAGTAGGATCGCACAGGTGTGCTTTCAAAGTAGTTTGCAGAAATACACTCCTAACTTCTTGGATTCCTTGCATAGTATCATTAAATAGAGATCAGCCTAGCTGCGTATCATATGGAGTAGGAAACATTTACTTTCTATTAAAATAAATTACGTCTTGATTCTGTTTGACATGCAGATGAAATGAGTCATTGCAATGTTGGGAGAGGAAGCTTTGTTTACAGTATGCCTGACTTAATGTGTAAATGTGTACCTGTGAGTTACAGCACTGTATTAATAAAAAGGATCTCCCACTGCAAATTCAGAATTGTTGGTTCAACTAAGAGAACCCAAGATGTATGCACTTCCTTCTTATCTTTGCTTTAATGTAGTTCTAGATTGAAAATCTTAAAACTAACACTGTTGTATTAGTAACACATGTAAGTCCAGATCTACTTTTGTATATTCAGTTTGCTAATCAAAAATCACATAGGACATACATTGTTTTACTTCCAGTTGTTGGGGCTGTATGGTTTGGGGTGGTGGGAATGGTGTGGCGGGGGTTCTGCATAGCTAGACAGCTTTCTTGAAATTAAACCCCAGAGGTGAAACTGGGCTTATTTCTGTTTCTTTGCACGAGATGGGAATTGCCAAATCGAGTAGCCTTTTCCCTTTTGTGTCCTTTAAAGGGATAACTAAGGAACACTCTACATAGTGTTTCCTTTGACCTCCCTTCAGTCAGTATTTAGTGCTTGTTTTGAATCAGGAGGGTTTGGTAATAGCGAACAGTAGTCTATTTCATTGGGTAATTACATACCTGCTCTCCTTCTCACATTGTATCAGTATGAAATTAATTGCTTCTTCAAAATTCCTAGTTACTAATCTCATGCTGTACAGCTTGGGCAATAGGAACACATGGTCCTTTCCTACTATACTAGCTTTTCATACTGCAGTCTTATTTACAAATCTTTCATTTTACTATGGGTATAGATTTTTTGGGTTTTTTTCCTATCTCATCTCACAGCATGTATTCATATTGCCTATCTGTACTACAAGGAAGAAAGTAGGAAAAAGTTGAAATTCATGTGCCATGCACTTTGTCTTTGACCTGTTACTTAGAACTCAAAAATTCCAGTCAGGAATTCCACACAGTAATTTGTTCTTGTATTCAAGATGTTATTTCAATTCATGGGACACTGCTCACTTCTGGTGGTAACTTCAGTGGTATCCTGGCCCCTTTATCTCAGTGTTACAAAACAGATTTAACAAACATTTTGTAATATGAGGGTGGAGATTTTAAATGAGTTCTGTGACAATATATCCTATTTTGAGTTATGGGTGACTCAGTAATGAAACCATTTCTAGCTCTGCTTTTAGAGTTCATTAAAAATAGTTGGCATGTCAGACCACTGTTACATTAGTGGATCATACCCTTCCTCTTTTAGTCTTACCTTGCTGTTTAAGTACAGCAATGTTGCAAATTCCTCTGCCTGTTTTAGCTGGCCAAGAAGAGCCTGTATGCCTCTAATCCATAATGATACACTGTTTACTTCTCAATTTCTTTTTCTTATTGTAGAAAGAAAGATTGTATTAAAAGAAGAACTAGAGCTTTCCGAATAAAAGGAAATTGAGAAAGTACTGGAAGAAACAGACCTTTTTATTCTGAAATTACTGCACAGCTGCCCTTTACTCTGAGATGCTCCTTATAACCATGCTAATTTGGATTATATTTTTTAAAACAAGTATTTGTTGCAAAAAGCAACACTGCACTTTTGAAACTGAAACCTCTTGCTTATAGCTAAAATAGTGTGATCTGGATTTACATTAATATGTTTATCCTGAACAGCAGTGTGGTACTTTTTGTGTAGATAGCACTCTGTTTTTCTCCTACGAGTATGCCTGTCTTACCTTTCTTGGTGATGTGAGAATTAATAATCTTAATAAAAGGCTTTGAAGATGAAAAGAACTGTGTGTAAGAACACAACATGCTCTCCAAGTTGAAACACAAACATATCCTGCTGGGCAAAGGAGAACAGCAGAAAGGCTATTTGCAATGTTGTTTTAATTGTATAAACATTCTCACTGAGCTGTCTTCTGTTGTCCAGAATTAATTAAATCTCTGACGCTACAACTAGAAGCAGGATTTTTCCCTTTTTTTTTTTTTTTAAATTATTGGGTTTGCTAGTTTACTGTAATGCTTTTAGAACAGAGGGACTATCTAATGGAATCTCACTTAGTATAGGATAGAGGTTTCTTCTAAAATTACTTCCCAGGCTTCGTCAATGAGTAAACTAAAAATAGAATAGACCTGAGAGGAATCTTACTAAGATTTGTTAATCAAAGTGTCCTATTCATTTATTCTGTTCTGCAAATAAATACTGGAAATAATTAAGTGCTGTCTTGTTGGTTTTCTTAATTTTAATTCCAGTATGCCAAGTTCACTGGCTAGCTGACTCACCAGATGGAGCTGTAGGCTAGTTATTCTTTGCTAGGCAGTCATCATTGCATCCCCAAACAATGATGTTGTATGAACTTTATTCGTATCCTATCACTGAAAAAGGCAAGCCACTAGAATGATTTATCAGTGTTTGCTGGGAGAACAGTAAGATTCCATTTATTCCTGGCTACTTGGAGGAGATCACATCATAGATTCAGACTGATACATGTACAAGGTAGTATGTGACTCAGCAAAACTCTTGAGACAGATTAAAGTCGCTTGGGCAAGCAGCTTCTTAAAAAAATATCAAACAAGTTCTTGAACATGTCAGAAACTGAACTCATGGGCAGTGTGTGAATTATGAGCCACAGTCCACAGATAAGCTTAAACTGCACAGATATATTTTAGGGCCTGGATACCTAACAGAACACCCCTTGGCCCAGGTATGGGCAGAGGTGGTAGACAGTGAGCACCATTAGTTACAAGTGACAGTACTGTTTTCAGAAATTGGTTCATATGTGTATTCTTCTTAGTACTTCATAGTACAGTGTTGCGATGCAAGCACATCAGGAAGGTGGTTCCACAGCTTTCCAAGCTGAATCCTTTTTTATTTGGTGGACAATCATGTGATGTCCTTATGAAGTTGTGTATCCTTTGCTGTTGAAAAGATTTCACCTGTGTAGCTCCAAGCCAAAAATAAACTTACTCATAAGTAAGAAAAATTATGCTTGAGAAAACATTTGCAATGGCTGTTTGGGTTTCCTATATTTGTCATACCATTGTTAACTGCTTTGAGTACAGGAGGCAGTTATTAATTACAGACAATCAGTGCTGCTGCTGATTGTGAAGATCACAGGGAGAAAGGGATCAGCACATCTGAGGCAAATTATGCCACAACAGTCTGTATTAAGGAACGATACCCTGACTGGCTGTGGAGACAAAAAAAATTTGTAAAAGGAAAATAGTATGTTGTATCCCTCCATAAAACCAGAGTAATTTCTGAGATGGCAGGATGCAAAAGATGTGAGCTGGAGATGAGAAGGAAAGGGAACAGACAGTAAGGGGACACTTTTATGCAACAGAATGCATAATTGCTTTTAGAGATTCTTTAGAATATCTGGAAAGGAGGGCAATTCTGAGAATGCTAACCTCTATAACGTTGAGCAGAGAGGAAGGGTAGGAGAGAAAACACGTCACACTGTATTTCAGATGCTATTCTTTTAGGAAAGAACTCTACAGAGCAGGTATGCTAAAGCTCATAAAACTCAGTACCACTAGTCTATCTGCTGTGTGTGTCTCTTATGTGTAAAGCTGAAGTGGTGAAATGTCCTCAGATCATTACTGTTGTTTAAACCTATTAATTACCATCAAGGTCGCACCAAGGAAGAATGAACCTCCACTTTAAATCTGGTGTCACTTCTTTCATGCCAGGTCAGGGAAACTGTCAGAATGGAATGCAAGCCTCAGGTAATGAGTCTTACAGTAGTAGGAAAAATCAGTGAATCTCTTCTACATTAAACATTTTCAGGAGGATGTATGTAACTAATACTGCAGTAACACAAATGGGTGTTTCTCTGCTGTGTTGAGAAAACATTTTGCTTTCAGTACCTAACCTTACCTAAAGCTGAGATGCTTTCTCATCAATATATTTAGCCTGACATCTTTTGCAAATAACTTGGAAGTGTATGTGGTCTTGAGAGAAATGGTGCAAGTATCACCACTATAATCTTATTTTTGCAAGGAAGAGTAACATGGATGAGATTTTAAAACCTGACACCTGAATGCATCTTGGACATAGGTGTCCTCGAC